ATCGAAACTATCAATAAAAAGTAGAACAATAAACGTTATAACAAAGTTGGTTATATTACAATATGAAAATCATTTTCGGTTTTGGATATTTGGTTAAAGTTAAACCATAACAAAAGCCATTAGGTTTATAAACCAATCTTCATTCAGCTTCATTTTAGTTTGGTTCGGTTTTTTTCCACCCATAATTATATGACCATGTTAAATAAATCCATCGGATTTACTAAACGGATATAAATAAACGTTTCAGATGTGTGTTTGAATTTGAAAAAGAAAAAGAAAAAGCAAAAGGTTTCAAGTGGTTGCAACAACACCGACGCAACCAATTTATTATTATGTGTACTATTGTTTTGTAACGTTACACGATATCCAATTAATATTTGGTTCAAGATTTGTTATGGTTATACGACGAATTAGCTTTTGACTATGTCCACTGCATAACCTTTGCTTTCCTTTCAAGTTGTTAGTAGAGATTCTCTTTGAAAAAAGATCTCTAAAATTATTTGTTAAACTTTCTTATAACCAAGAATTTGAACTTGAACCAACCAGTATTAAAGGAAGGTGATAAACCTTGAACTTTTCAATTATTTTCAGAAACTAATTTTGAATAAAATGATTAAAGAATTACGATGATAATTTGCATCTATCATATTTTATGAAATATAGATCATTAGATGCAAGATTTTCTAAATTATCTATCATGATTTTTCACAAGAGTTGAGACTTGGTTGGTAAATTTAAGGCCCATTGAAGTCACAAGAACCAAATCACAAACACTGATCTTCTAAATTTGCGGAGAGCCTCATAGTTTAACTTTCAAGTTGCCTCTCTACACAAAACTTGTCGTGTGTGGATGATTCAAGTGGCATTTGGTTGGCCACACAATTCAAAACGTAACGTTAACAAGGGACCAGTCACTTTTGTGATATGTTTGAAGGCTGATACCGATCGAGCATTTTAGCACTTTATGCCAAATTAATAACCGATTTGTTCGTTTCGGTTTTAAGGATATATAAGAGGATAGAAAAAAAAAACATATGCTTCTTGGTGTTACCAAATTTAAAAATTCATATATTATGTGTTGTTTTCTTGAAATCATGATTTGGTTGGCATAATATCAAGTTTTAGAATCGGAATTCATATTATTTTCAATTCAAATTTTATATATAACAAATGTTAACCATATATGATAATATCTCGGTTTGGATTAAGATAGTTTCAGTTTTCTTACTATACAATTTTGTAGGACTGACAAAAAAATGAAATTGAAGTTTTGGATTAGGTTGGTTTCAAATTGATTATCATGAGTTTACTTGGTTTAGAAGAAGTTAAACCGAATTAAAGTACTTGCAAAAAGTTTTTCCGTTTAAATAAACTGACAAAAAAAAGCCCTAACTAAATTTAATTTTGGTTGAGAATCTATTTCTCAGAATTAAAAAGTAAGAAAAAAACAAATGTAAAACTGTGAAGTCATAGTCAAAAGAAAAGTTAGTTCCAACCAAACAAATTAAAATGTGATCAAGTTGAAAAAGTGACAGATAGAGAATCTATCCTTTGGATCCTCTCCTCCATTTTTAGCCCTTCACTTGGATCTCTCTTGGATAACTCATTAAATGACACTATCCAGTATACCCACATGTGTATCACCGTATGCATATGTATGCGTATCTATATTTAGAAGCTTCCTTATTTTGTCACAAAAAAATATCTTCATGTTTTGTTCCTTTCCGTAATAACTCACAATTCTCTTCCAGGATTCTAGGATTTAGGTTTGGAGATCT